GAGAGAGATCTTGTGATGTGGAGGTTAAGAGCACAGGCTCTGGAGATGAAGAGTCATGGTTCAAATCCAGGCTGTCCCACTTATATCCTGTGTGATAGTGTGCAAATCACCTTTCTGTGCCTTAGGATCCTTATCTGTATGTTAATAGTAGCCATTTTAGAGTAGTTTTATGTTGTATATAATAGTGTCTATTGCTTATTTAATGCTATCTAAGTGATATTTTTCATGATAGTTCATTATTTTCTGTGCAGCAAAGGTGGTACAGGAAGCTTACATATTTGGGTTGAGTTCTTACTTGTGGTGAATTAACACTGTTGTTGGACTACACCAGGCTCATGGGTTGTCGATGGTCTGCACCGTGGTGCCCTTCTTCAGTAGATCACCCTTTACTTTGTCACTCTTAAAATTACTGCCCAAGGCTTTATGTAGTTGTGAGTTTTATTGAGCATTGGGAGATATTTTATTGAAGGGTACTATATGCCATTACTATATAATGAAGAGTTCACCCATCTTCTTAAAAATTCTTTCAGTAATTCACACTAACCATCAACACTTACAGTGTGCCATGACATCATCTTCTGCTTGTCCCCCCTCTCTCTAAGGCTCTATCTACCCTTTCTTCAGATCCTCCTGGAAACTCTAAATTTCTTACTTAATTATGATAATTAATTTTATTCTTTCTGTGTCAATGCGTTTATTTCCTATGTGATATATTTTATGAGCCAATTAGCAGTTCAATGTGATTTTCTGAGTTAATAATAGAAGATAATTGTTTTAGAGTAAGAAGGTAATTAAAATTTATTGAGCATCTATTTTATTTCAGGCATATGTTTAGGTTTAAACAAATAAAAAACAATAAATAATGAAAATATGATATTTGGGAACCAAAGCATGTTGCAAGAATAGACATCTAGAAAGTGGCAGGTCCAGAATCTGGAAGCGTTCTGTGTACCACACTATGATGAAATGTCCCTTTAGAGCTTATATATAGAACATTTTTTCTCAGATTACACTGATATGTGGTTTCTAATTATTCAGATATGTACAAATCTTACCTTCAGAACTGTATTAACTCAGTTTAACACAATGACAAGATTTATTGAAACGATTCAAGAGAAAAAAGTATAATCGGTGGCTGTGGAGTGCCTTTTACACCTCTGTCTTGCTCTTGTTTAATTTTAAATGTTGAACTGTGTGAGTAGCTGGGAGAAAAGGAGCTCCTATTACCTTAGAATAATTGGTATGAGAAGGTCTTTGCTGGGGGTTTCACTGGAGGCATGGTTGACTGTATAATTTGAGGGATCCAGTGCAAAATGAAAATGCAGGGCCCTGGCTGGGGGCAGGCTATCAGTTTCCTTTTTCCCAGAGCCCACCACCCTGAGCCTTGCAGACCCCCAAGGGATGGCAATTTCCATGAAGGGATGCGCTCAGTATCTGGATGGTGAGTGGGTGAGAGGCCCCCACCAGATCCCCTTGGAAGGCACCATGGAGCTGCCTGCCTGAGTTAGGGATAGCCGCCACCTTGCTCAGTCCCCGGGTCGTGCAGGGCCCTCACTAAAATCGGACCCCACCCACTCCAATCCTGCATTGTCTGGTAGGACTCATTTACAAAACAGAAATGCAAAGCTGAGAATTTCAAAATGATGACTGGAGAACATTAAACCCCAAGTGCAGGGCCCTTTTGAGTGCTGGGCCCCATGCAACTTCACTGGTCAATGAAGCCAACCCTGATGAGAAGAACTGATGGAGAATTTAAACACTATTCCTTTGGAAGAATTATACTGCTATCGATACTAACCCTGATTCCTGCTTATGAAGATAAGGAGAGCTCAATATTTCTCTAGTAGATGCCCATCTGGAGCCTTAGGCTCAGATTATAGAAGATGGACTGGAAACTTGATGTGAAGCTAGCTGCCTAAGTATGGACACTGAGGGATATAGAAATGTTTGACAGATACCACAAAAGAAAATGACGTTCCAGATCAAGTAAATAGTACAATAAAAACAACAAGGAAGGGAAGCAAAAAGTGTGTATTGGAATAAAAGGAATATTGACATATATTGTTAGATTAAAGAAGAAAGGTGGAAAAATAATGGGAGTAAGAGTGAAAAATAAGTTAGGACCAGATGGTAAATAGTTTGCATTCTATTGAAAGAATATTTGAAATTCAAAAGTGATCCATTAAAGGGAAATGATATGGACTGATATTGATTGATTTAGATTTTAGTTAGAAACCACAGACAACTGTGTGTAGGTAGTGAATTAGGTCAGAACACACATGGAAATAGACACACATAGTATGGAGAGTAGATTTTCTTTTAATTGATGTTTTCACCATTGTGAATAGTGTGTTCATTCAAAATTAGAGCTGGCAAACAACTTTTTTGAAAAGAAAATCACCCACTGAATGGATATTGCACTCTCCAGGGTGGTAGAACTTTCAATACATCTTCATGGTAGTCCTGGAATATAATCAGACCAGAGTCAAGTAAGATGTTAAAGCTTCTCCCCAGATGCAGCCATTTCTACCAAAAGAGTGTGTACAAATTCCCCTACTGAAGCTGTGAGTTCCAAACCCACCACATTAGTATTCTGAATGATTAAAACCATAAAATAAACCAGTCTCATACACCTCCTTTCATGGGCATAATTGTTCCCCCCTAAATTCATATGTTGAAATCCTAACCCCAGTACCTCAGAATGTGACTATATTTAGAGACAGGGACATTGAGGAAGTTTTTTTGGTTAAATGAGGTCATTATGGTGGGCCCCTATCCGACACGACTGATGTCCCTATAATAAGAAGAGGAGGTTAGGACACAGAGGAGAGACCATGTGAAGAAAGAGGGCAAAGATGGCCATCTGCAAGCCAAGGAGAGACGTCTCAGAAGAAATGAACACTACAGACCCCTGATCTCAGACTTCTAGCTTCCAGAACTGTGGGAAAATAAATTTCTCTTGTTTAGGCTGCCCAGTCTGTGGTACTTTATTGTGGAAGCCCTGGAAAACGGATATGCCCCTCCCACATAATTCTAGGAAAGACTTATCAACTATACCTAGAAAAAGTTAAAGGGGTCCCATTGATATCCAGTTATGCTGGGTTTAGGAAAATATATGTTTTGAATATACTTACATTCAAGTATGTATAAGTAGGGGGAAATGCCACGAAAGAGAAGTTTCTGAAGAGATAAACAGAACATATTGAATATAGTTTAGGACTATACTTTTTTTTTTCCAGATCCATTTATTCATTAAATTAGAGACAATAAATAAAATAATTTCTTTGAAAATTAGAGTCTTTTGTGACATATATTCCAGATGATTCTAAACCTTCAGCAGTCTACAGATGCCCTTTATGTCTAAATAAGAAAACTGTATAATCAAATGAACTTTGAGATTTTCTAACTCTCTAAATTATTTTGAATTTCAGGATGATTTGGTATAAATAGGATATATTTTAATAGTTGGTTCATTTTTAAGCTTCTTTCACAAATGTTGCCCACCTAAATCCCCTTTTGAAATTTCCTTCTCTGTCCTCTTTACTATTACCATTTTCCCAATTAACTGTTCCTTTATTCTCCATAAATACCATTAAAACAGGCTACTGGTGCAAATGGTCCTCACTGCAGGTGTGAGGCAGCAGATGATAATAATAGATGTGGCAAGAAAAACTTACATACGGAACATCACTGTCCTAAAATTTGATGTCCATTACACATACAGGGGAATTTTCCTCTGGCTTTCTTATGCCCTTTGTTGTTGCTATCTGACCCTTATCTCTTAGGATAACTGTCTCCAGCACCGACTGCCGGCTTCCCTCCCTTCCCTTAAAAAATAAGGGGGGCTGGCCTGGTGGCATAGTGGCTAAGTTTGCATGCTTCGCTTTGTTGGCCCGGGGTTCACAGGTTCAGATCCTGGTGGGGACCTACGCAGTGCTCATCAAGCCATGCTGTGGTGGCATCCCATATACAAAATAGAGGAAGATGGGCACAGATGTTAGCTCAAGACCAATCTTCCTCAGCAAAATAGAGGAAGATTGGTAATAGATGTTAGCTCATGGCCAATCTTCCTCACCAAAAAAAGAAAAAAATCCCTGTTTATCTCTTCTTGATTGAAATTAACTTTCTCTAATGTAAATGTCTTCTATGTGAGCTATGCTTCGAAGGCCACTTTGTGCCCAAATATCCCATTATTCCATTAAGGTGCTTTACTTGAGACAAAGAAAATTTCTGTTCCTGGGAGGAAGTTACTTATCCTGCTAAATCATCTGAATCAATTGGCATGAAGCTTTTTCTTTTTTGTTACTCTTCTACAAGCAATGATTAATGAGAAGCTAATACAACAATATGAAATTAAAAGAGAACTGACAGAGAGGACAAAAGAATTTAAACCAAAAAAGAAATCCTATATTAGAATATATAGTATAGTATATAGTATAGGGTAATGAAAAGAAGAAAATATAACAGTGGTAGGATAACTGCCTTGCACACACACACGAAGTCTATTAAAATTCTAAAAAATAATAAATGAATGATATGAGTTAAAAAAATAATTGAGAAGTCAAAAATGCTGTGGTTGAAGACTCTTAATACACTTCATCTACATGCGATTCCCGATAGGGCTCCTGATGGGTGGGAGACTTTTCCCTTCGTCATAGTCTTGATTCCCCTCTCTGGCTTCACTCCCATTAGGTGATTCAGGGAATCACTCCCATTGAGAGCTGTTCTCCTTGGTTGGCTAAGATGCTCGGGTGATTGAAGGACAGGAAAAGAAGAATCATCCTATGTTGATTTCTACCTGCACCTCACAATGCTGGTGCCACCGTGATGCTTACTTTGCATCTTTTTTCTGCCCAGAAGGAGCAGCAGAGGGCAGGGATCTTCCCATGGCAATGTGCTTGAGAGAAAAGCTGTCCCACAGCCTGTTCTCCGACCATGGTGGGGAACTTCTGCTACCAGAGGCTGCTGCTTTCCCTCAATCTTTGGCCACTTTCTTTACCCAGGTTTCGAGTTTTTTATTAGCTTTCATTTGACATTCATTCATTTATATCTCTAGATCTGAGCTTGGACTAGGAACCAGCAGTTGAGATTAGTCTCCATCTTTCCATTTTGTCTGGTTTCACATATATTTGAAGTTGAATAGATGTTGCATTTGGGGGGCAGAACAAGAAATGAAACTAGAAGATTAGAATATGCATAGGCACAGTTTATATCTGGATGTAAAGAGAACATCTAAAAGTCAAAGATAGTCAAAGACAAAAATGTTCTCCTCTGAAAGGTAGTGATCCATATCACTTGACATGCTCATGTAGACACTCCAGGAAACAATCAAGAGAAATATTTTAGAGGTGATTCATGTTAAAATTGTCTCAAGGATTCTTTTATTCTAGATATATCATTAGATTTTCAAACATATTGTGTAGTTCTTAATCTTGGTACCCAAAAAATCATACCTTTATCTTTTTCTCTACAAAAATGCATTTCCAATGCCCATGTATGTTTTTGATTTAACTTCCTTTATCCCAAGGCTGAACCCCACCATTCTGTGTTCTGTCACTCTTTGACCCTCTCTATATGCTATGAAACTTCTTTCTTTTATTATTGCCAATTATAAAAATTGCAAGCGTAATTATGACAGCTATTTTCTTATGCATGCAGTAACTTAAGAAATGTAAACAAATTTAGCATGTATTATAACTTTTTGAGAAATGTAAAATTAATTCTTGAACAGATTCGGCACCTTGAGTAGATTTCCTGTTATTTTTTCCCCTGATACTTCAGTCTGGTAGGAGAACTAAGAGTCACTCTCCTGATATCCCCCCTAATATTTGCTCATAATAATATTTTTCATTCATAACATATTAAACTTTATTTCCACAGAAAATTTTATTTTTATTATGCATTACACTCCAGATTAGGCTGAGAGCAGGAGTTTTATTTGAATCATTTAACAAGGAGAAGCTTGAAAAGGAAGCTATGCTTTCTTAGAAATTATTAGATCTCCCAGATACCATATTGAATGAGGATCAAAGCTCCAGAATTCTTCCGTCTGGTACATTTACTAATGAATTATTGTCCGAGGGATTAAAAAAAATAGATCTGACAGAGCGTGATGTCAAAATGCCAAGATGACTGAAAGAAGACCAAGGTAGATAGGTACATAGATATTCCACATTATTAGTAAGCTTTTGAGCAATTCTTTATCTTAAAACAATTCTCACTCCCCTCTCATTTTTGAAGAGAATGATCCAGGTTTTACTAAGTTGTTCCTTCATGACTTGACAAAGATATCTGTTGCAAAGGGAATTTGAATGTCTCTTTTCAGAATTGCTTTCATGATTTCCCTGGACTATCACTTTCTCAAAGAGGCTAAACTTTGTGTAAAAAATAATGCAAATACCCACAAAACTTGCACAGTTTTGGATGTTTATAGACCTTAGGTTAATACCTCCTTCTCTGAGGCAAACTTTTTTGTATACTTCAAGAAGAAACTTTGGAAAACTTTACTGTGTAAACCCACAGAGTAATGGTTTTGGATCTTTGCCATCTCTTGTGAAACTGAGCTACTTATAACTGTATTAATAGCACTTTTTCCTCTTAGCCTTCCTCCCTTACCCCTCTTTTGAAAATCGGTTAGCTTTACTTGGACCCCATATTTGTCACTTAGGTGGTTTCATCAGGTTTCAAGTATCATTACAGAATGACTGTCAACTCTTCTACAGAAATAACTTAAATTCCCTTAACCTGAAGTACCAAAGTTCAATAATAAGTGACTTAGCCATCAAACCTATGTGACAATGTAAGGCATGAAACATTTTTTTGAGAAAAAAAGTATGACTATTTCATGTCTTGTAGTACTTGGAAAACCTACCTTATCAAAGTTACATAGAAACTTAAAACAAAAAAAAATCCAAGCAACTTTCAACTTTATAAAAGCAAAAAATGCAGAAGAAATGCATGTTGTCCTTATGATGCAAAAACAACAGAAATGAAAAATCCAGTCAATTAATTGTACACAGGGATGTGTACATGCATGCATGGAAAGTTTTGGCATTAACTGTCAATTTTTCAATTCATGTATACCAAGGAAATCCTTATGTAGGAGGGGTTCGAGAACTTTCTTGATCATTAGCAGATAGTCTTATTTCTATCCTCTCATCTTACATGATACCCTATATGACAAGCTCACCCCAGTTCTCTATTGTTTTCTGGTTCCCTAAAAGCTGACCTATTCTTGATAGTCTTAGAAGCAATTTAACAAGGTTCCACTGTCCAAGGCTATAAGTCCTCAAAGATCTGTCATATTTTACATGACATGATATAACAAGTGAATACCAACATTGTTTGCTCTTTGTTTTCTTAGTTATTGCTGCATAGATCAGCTCAATAACTCCAGGAGGTTGAGTTATCATATGCTGTCCTTAAATTGCTTTGGAAATTTTTGAAGGCTTGTAAATACTTTCTGCTTTGGAATCACTTCCAAATCCCTCCAACAGATATAGTTTATTGTTTCTAGCCTGAAATCTCAATGCATAGCTTTACCTAAATTTTCTTCATAAAAGAGTATCACATAAAACATAGGACTGAGACAAAGAGTTTCGCAGATATCTTTGCGTTTTGGTCAGATAATGAATACATATGATTTAAGTTCTGCCTGAAGCATATTACTCTAATAACCAGCTATTTCTAATTTATTCTTTCTCTCGTATACTTATTAAAAAAATCCTCCAAATTCAGTGAATAAAGATTAAAAAATAGCTGTTGGAATGAATTGTTTATTAGTAGGAAATGATGTAGTTCACATTTGTTTTATAAAAAGCAGAATAAATAATGGTAGAAAATACAGGATTTGAGTATGACAGCTTTTTTTTTTTTAATATTAGCTCTGTTTAAATCCCGCAAAATAGACTTCAGATGAAATTGCAGTATCATCATCTGCAAAATTGAATAATTATTAGTTATAATTTATTTAATCAGTAATTATGAAGATTATGCAAGACATTTATATAAAATATTTTGAATGGTGGCTGGTTCTGATAAAGCAATAAATAAATATTGTTTTATTGTCATTTTCCTTTGTTATTGTTGATAATGTTATTTCTCTATTCTTATTAGATAACCCCTTGATTTTAGCCATTATATAATTTAAATTTTTACCTAATTTCTTCTACCAAATTAAA